ATCAACCACCAAATTAAAACGCGTATATTATATGTTTTGATAAAATTGTACATACCATATTAAAAAAGATATATACATATTGCGGTTTCGATTCTACGACAACAACAAAACTTAATTCGAACAATTCAACATGTTTAGCAATCGAAAATACAGATGCAACATTGTTGACTGTTAGTATTATTGAAGTCTTTAAAGTCTTGACTTGAGGATATTAAAAAAGTCTTAATTTTTCCACTACATTGACACGAACGGATAGCCATTCACAAAGCCACAAGTACTCAAAACCAAACCTATGAATTATTCGAATAAATCAACCATTATTAAAAAAAAATGGTAAAAGATTCTTTATTCTGTTGATTTAATTAGGAACTTTGAACTTATAAATTCGATCATCCTTCCAATAAAATTAAGACAACCGCCCGGGACTTAGTTTTCTTTAAGTGATCGTTTAATTAAAAAATTAAGTGAACAAATTGAGAGTTTACTAGTTCAGTTGATCTAAATTATCTTTTGTTTTTCTTGTGTTAGGATATAAAATTAATGGTAATTAGGAACAGCTTAACAGCATACGTGGCGCCGTAAGTACGGTGATTTGCGTAATCTACGGTTTCAATTCTACACATCACATGTCAATGTGGGGCCCATCCTACAGCCTGTTGTTCACTAGGTTCTTGTATTCAGGTTTCGTTGCCACGTAGTATTTTATTTCCCGCCGATAAACGGATAATAATTAAATTTACAGTCTTTTAAGACAATGAAGATTTTTAAAACAAAAAAAAAAATACTACAAGAAATGTGAAAAATTGTTTGAAAAGTTTCATTGATTACATCAATTTTGTTAGAAGTAATAGTACCATTTTTTAATTTTATTTACGATGCATATAAAAATAACTATCTAATAAAAATAAATTATATAACAAATCTGAACAATTTAATCGGTTAATCCGTATCATTTTAAAGAAATCTAAAATTTTGATTGATGATTAATTTTAAAAAATATAAACTTTCCTAAATTTTGTTAGGATAAAAATACTTTATCAGCAATACCCCGTGATTGTCAAATCATGATTTTCTCATGAACACAAATCTACATTTCCTTTTTGTTTTATTGTGAAACAAAAGTCAACCTTACAAGTTAAACCCAAATTTTAGACCTTTTGTTTTGATATCTCATCAATAAGTACACAATAACCTAAATCATAGAGATAAACGCTATAACAAACATTCAAAAATTATAATATTTATTTCAATCAACACTATCACCGAATAACTTTATAATTTAAAAATTAATAGCATCATATTCTAGATAAAAGGAAGTATAATTTTCAAAAGTATTTTTAATATAACCAATATCATTTTTATCCTTCTTATCCGACTATACGTTAATAATATTATTACAAAACTATTATGCCACAAATCTCGGTCATAATTTAAATCAATTATATATTTATAAACGCTATACAAAAACTCATATATTAAAAAAAAAAAATACAGAAAACTTGTAAACATAAAAATCGAAAACAATCACCCTCAAAATAACTTATGAATCCGCCATATAAAAACAGAACAAAAATACAAATTATTCTGAAATACTATCATAGTACTAATAATTGGTTTACAATTAGTTTTTATATACGTTGTCAAAGCCCACGTTAGCATCAAAACCCTTTTATAAATAACCTTTAACAATTTTAGCTAATTCCTGATTCTCCCTTCCTCCCAACCGCGTCACCAAAATCTCCCCAAATAAAAAATATATTTGGAAAAACACTAAAAAAAAAAAAACAGAGCCTCTCGAGATCGTCCAATGGCGGACATCGACATCGGAACCGCCGCAGGAAGCGACGGAAGACGAGAGCCTTTGATTAACCGTGAAAACAAGTTCACGCGTTGCGTTTCACACGCGCAGGACGAGCTCCATAGTTTCCGGAAATACCTCCGATGGATGTGCGTGGATCAGTCGAGCCCTTGGACAGCGGTTCTGTCTTGGTCGATGTTCGTCGTTTTCACGCTGGTCGTTCCGGCGACGTCTCACTTCATGCTCGCTTGTGCTGACTGCGATAGCCATCACTCGAGACCGTACGATTCGGTGGTCCAGCTGTCTCTTAGCAGTTTCGCTGCTCTCTCTTTCCTCTGTTTATCCAGATTCGTTAGCAAATATGGTCTCCGACGATTCCTCTTCTTCGATAAGCTTTGGGACGAAAGCGAAACTGTTCGCCGTGGATACACCAATCAGCTCAACGTGAG